AAAAAAAAATTATAAAAAAAAAAAAAACATGGTGACTGATATCAGTTACAATACTTGTTTTCTCTATCTAGCAACAGAACCCTGTAAATCAAATTATTGGATTAAACAAATTTAAATATACACTGTTGGTTTTATATCAGTTTTAAATTTCTTAGCACATTTGTGGCTATGTAGGAGAATGTTCATTCTTGGGTGATATTTGCTTAAGTATATTGGAATGAAGAATTTAATGCCTGTGATTTTCAGGTATTTCATAAAAATGTATGTGCATGCATACGTACACTCATGGCAAGAATGTGCATGTGTGGGAAAATGTTAATTGTTGATGAGTTTTGGTCAATGCTATTTTCCTTTGAAATTATTTCAAAGTAACAAGCTGAAGGAAAAAGAGAATGGCAAAATTACCTTCTCGTGGACTGGAATGTTAAAGAATGTTTAATTAAGGAAATTTATAAAATTCCATGTCTATTGCTTAGCTTTAACAGTTATCAACACAGCAATTTTGCTTCCACTTCTATAAGACACTAGGCTATTAGAAGCAGATCGCAGACATAATTTCACTATTACTTAAGTGTCATTCTCTTATTAAAAAAAAATTAACACACCCATATGTACTCATCACTGAGCTTCATCATCAACTCCAGTGCATCTTGTTTTATCTCTACTTTTACACTAGCTAGATTACATTTAGCAAATCAAGGACATGGAGTAGCACATTTTTAAAATTCACTCTTTAAAAAATTCTTTTCACATTGTTTATATCTGTAAACTTCTGGTTGAAATTGCAGATACATGCCAGTGTATGAATCCTGTTAAATCTTGTGCTTTATTTTTTTCTTCATTTTGCCATAACTGAAATTTTATTAAATTGGCAGATAATATTTTTCTGGAGATTTTACACTCTACTGATCCCAGATTGGATGCAGCACGAGAGATTTTAAAAAAAATTGAATGCCGTGAGCTATACAAATATGTAGGCGAGACTCGGCCAGTTGATAAAAAGGGGAGGTTTTCCCGGGTAAGTTATGTTCTTATTTAATCTTTACATCACTAGCCTCCTTGGGCCTGTCTTACAGATAAAGAACTGAGGCTTGGTGGGTGATGAAATAACGTGAGCACAGTTAGTGAGCCAGGATTCAAAGCCCAGTCTACCTTCAAGCCTTTGCTCCCATCCCAGAAGTGAGAAGGGGTGTCAAAGTTTGCCTAGATCCAAAGTAAGAAAATGAACATAAAGGAAAAGGACCTTAAAACAAGGTATCTGGGCCCTCCCTAGTGGCACAATGGGTTAAAGCACAGCGCGAAGAAGCTAAAGCCACTTCAGCATGAGTTTGATCCCCGCCCCGGGGGTGATCCACATGGCACGGCAGACCTCTCCTGACCTGCCCACTGCTCCCCTCAGCAGTGTACTTCGTCAGTTGGCCTGTTCTGCTCCCCACTCTGTCTCTGGTGCCCCTGCACCTCTGGCCTATACCCTAATTCTGTATGCATAAATAAATAAATCTTTAAAAAAAAATTCAAGGTATCTGCATGAGCTTCACTGAGGCTTTCAGGACCTGATTTTAAGTCATGTTTTCACAGTGTGTCCATTTCTACCAGATGGCAGAGGCCTATTTCCTTAATTTAGATATCTTATTTTTTTCCTTTTTATTGCAAGTTTTCTTTTCTTTCTTTTTTAAGCTTTATTTATACATAGAAGAACTGGGGTACAGGCCAGTGGTGTGGGAGTGAGAGGATACACCAGAGACAGTTGGGAGCAGAGCAGGCAAATCTACTAGAATACACTGCTAAGGGGAGCAACAGGCGAGACAGGTGGGCCAGCTCTCAACTGGGGATCAAACTCACATAGCTGTGGTGATAATGCTGAGACTTAACCCCTAGGCCAGGAGGTAGGCCCTGAAGGTTTTCTTTGCCAGAAAACCATACTGATAACCATACTGTGGTTCACAATATTTCCTTGGGTTACACTTATTTTCTCTGTTGTGCTGATAAGTTGATGCCATGCTTTAAAAAAAAAAAAAAAAAAAAGATTTATCTATTTTTGCATACAGAACTAAGTTACATAACTGAGGTGCAGGAGGTGAAAGCATTTACCAGAGTGGGGAGCAAAACAGGCAGATGAATGAAGTACACTGCTGAGGGTAGCAGTGGGCAGGTCAGGAGAGGTCTGCCGCGCCCTGTGGGTCACCTCCCTGGCCAGGGATTGAACTCATGCTGCAGTGGCTGCAATAGCTTCATAGTGCTGTGCTTTAAACCACTGTGCCACCAGGGAGGGCCGCCATGCTTTCTTTCAATGTAAAAACTTTGAAAAAAATTTTGTTATGACAGCTGCTCTGTCGTGATAGGATTACAGGACGACATACACAGAAACGCTATGTTTTTGCTTGATTATTTCTACCCACTTTTCTTAGTAAAGTGCCATTTTCAGAAAGGGAACCTCTTGGGCACAAAATGATAAAAAGGTAAGGAGGGTTCTAACGTAAAGAATCTTCATGTTTTCTAGGAAGAATCCAAAGCCCTTGAAAAACAGATTGCTGATACTAAACAGACAGAAGTGTTCCTGGAAACTGAACTGACGGCTGAGGATTTCATAGTGGATGTAAGTAGTTAGTTTGGTGACTTACAGATATATACCACATAAAGGCAGTACACATTCATTGTAGAAAATCTGGAAAATACAGAAAGACAAAAGGAAGAGAATTACCTGTAATCTCACAGAAACAACCAACATTAATTAGTTTTAAATTTTTCTTTCAACATGTCACTTTATGTCAGTGCTTGTGTGGTTGATAGAACATTGTTTATTTTTTAATGTCTTCTTGATCACAGCAGTAGTACATGCCAATTATTTTTTAATCACCTGTGCACACCACAAAGAAATAAAACTTTTTTCCACTGGGAGGTTGTGGTGACTTTTTATACCCAAATGAGAATGTTAAATGGTTCTCTCATAAGTTCTTCTGCTTCCTATAGTCATTTTTTATTTTGGAGTTTCCTCTTCTGAAATCTCTGGACAATGCTCCTTGCATATATTTTTCCCCCAAAACCTCTCACTTGTTACTTTCTTACTGACGCATCTTACTGACGCATCTTTGAGCAAAAGACAGTCTTTCCTAACCGTTCTCTGCTGAGGAATACACCAAAGAATTGCCCTTAGGCCTGGAGTGTCTGTTCACTTGATCATGTTTTAAAGTGCCCGAGGCCTGCAGATCAAGCTGCAATTTCCTTTTCATTTGATGGATGAAGTTGCACCAGAGTAAAGGACCTCATATCCTGACTTCCTGAGGCTGAAAGACTTCACTGTCCAGAGTGTTTTTCCCTGGGCTCTCGCATGTCCGCCCTTGCGTTGGGGCTGTCCCCAGGGTCCAGCTCACCCTCAGTGTAGTACACTGCTTCTAGACAACCCCAACTTCCCATCTGGCTTTTCTCTCAAATTGAGTTTTTTTTTTATAATTTATTTTTTAAACTGCAGTGTCTTAATGGATGTAGGATCAGAAATGCCACTTGACTGGCCAGCTCTGAGGTCTGCAGAGACCTGTCAACCATCACGCACAACAGATTGTTAAACTTTGAACCTCATTGACATTTAAAACTACCCTCCTTCTTAAAAAAAATCACTATTTTGAGCATCTGGGCTGTCCAGATGCTTGTTCCTAGTTAATGGGAACCCCCCGGTGTATCATCTCTTTACTATTTTCCAGCTCGTCTTTGTCTCCCACTCTAAGATCCTGTGACCCATTAATTCAGTAATTCTCTGTAGTTATCCTTCGCTCCCTTCCCCTTCTTTGCACCTATCTAGAAAAAGGCCAAATGACAGGGATGAATCTAATCTACTTCTCCGACTCCACACTTGGAGATAAACTGCTGCTGCAATCGTAGTTGCTTATCTCTAAATTCATGCTCACTAACCTTATCTGGACCCTCTGGCCTTTCTTGCAAACTTAGTGTAATTCTCCCAGTCTTCAGAATTTCTTTTGAAACCATCTTCACTCCCCTTAGACCTTCAGTGCTGCTTCCCACCCCAACTGTATTTACCCTCGATGATTAACTTGGCTTTTATTTCAGGCCATTAGGAAGGAACCCCATCAAATAAGCAAGCCTGCCTCTCTCTGCAGCTGTGTTCAGTCATCTCTGTGTAGTGGGGCAATGTCTCTTCTTGTCAAAGGCTAAGATTAGTCCTGCGGCTTGTGTTCTAGACTCCAGGGCTGTGTGAGGGAACTTCTGTGCTGTCTGTGTTGGTAGCTGCTATTGGCTTATAGCCATTGAACACTTGAAATGTGGCTACTGCAACTGAAGAACCAAACTTTTCATTGTATTTTATTGTATTTAATGACTTTAAATGTAAAAGACCACATGTGGTGGCCACACCAGGCAGTGCAGCTATAGAACCATTTGTCTCAGGACTTCTGAGCATCTTACAGTCTCCTCTCCTCCCTCTAGTCTTCCCATCAGCTTAAACCGACTTTCAGCCTTAGAAAACCCCCCTCCTTCTCCCTTCTTCTTTTCTTTCGAATGAAACTCATTGAGTAGTTGTCTCTGCTTACCTTTTCTAGGTAGTGTGTTCCTCTCTGTAATCATCTCTGTTTCCTATGCTTTTTTTTTTTTAAGAGTTCAGGGTTTTTGTGAACATTTAAAAAAGAGGTTTAGTCAAAAAGATCAAAACTCAAGTTGTCATAGGATTCTTCATATCCTTCTTTCTTTGATCCTACTTTTTCTTCTCAAGTGGGGCAGTAGTGGTAGAGGGGGCAGGACTTCCTGCTGATGGGGCTGGCCCCCGGGCCCTTACATTACAGATGAGACTCAAGGTGTTGACTGTTGACATGGGTCAGGGCCATACAAACAAGCCTGGCCACAATGGCTCAACATTTGTATCACCTGCCTGAAAGCAGTTATTGACCTTGTCCTTTGTGACTGCCACCTCATTATACTACAGGATGCCAGTGCTGTGTGGGTGCCTGCCAGGCCTGGGCCAGGTTGCTGGATGACATGAAAGCTTCATTTTCATTGTGTCCTTACTTACCTCAAAGGACTCTGAGCACCATAGCAACAACTGAGGAAAAGTTCTTGCCTGTTCTTAAAAGCCAAACTTCAGGCCCTCCCTGGTGGTGCAGCGGGTTAAAGCA